GCTGCATGTGTAAGGCGAATTTAAATTTGTGCCGATCGTGTGTGCGTTGCTAGGGGCAACCCATGTGAGCAGTGCAAGTGTAATTAGATAAATGCTTCGATTTAAAGCTTTCGTGACTGCAGGGATTCATCTTCTTGGTTCTTTCGGTAAAGTCACGTAGAAGGGAAGTAATAAAAGAATAAAAATAAAACATAATAAAATAATTCTCACGACGTTTCGGCCACAACGCAAGCAGCCGTCCTCAGGTGAAGAACATGTCTGTCGATAAGACAGAGTCTAAATGACACGTCTTAGGCTTGGAGTGTCTATTTAAGCTGTGAGGGAGGAGGAAGAGAGCCTTGACAAACGAATTTGCATTTGAAGAGGAATTTAGCATATTTATGGGAAATGCAGGAATGCGAATAGTGCTAATTGTGAAATGCGTGGGAGGTGGGCGGGGGGTTTTCAAAGTCATTTTGTGCCCATGCATTATGCAGGATTAGCAGCATCAAAGGGAGGGGGCAGGGGCAGGGGCAGCACCAACAAAGGGAAGGAATGTGAATAGTATGCAGCTGCAGCAACCAAACAACCACGTAAAAAACTAAAGTATAAACTTCATAGTATCATCAGTATACTAAATATACTCTCCAATAAGCTGAGCTACTAACAGTAAGTAATACATTACAATTCTATGTCGCAAAAAATATAATATGCTTCCAGCTAAACTTTTTTCCCTAGCATCAAACAGGTCTCACAGTACTATATGCTGCCATAGACAAACCCAACATTAAATTATATACTGTATTACTATACACCACCCTATATTACACTATGTATTATTCTACCCACCCTAATGTATATCACACTGATATATATTCACTATACAATTACGATACTATATATTACTTTGTACATTGTATTAAGCATATAAATGTTATACTATTTGTTATTATACACTGTACCATTGACCGTCGTGTGAAAGATACTAAGAGGCAGCAACGAAATATGAGAATGGGGGAGTAGCAGAGCAAAGAATCCATTCTCTGCGGAGAATACAATGCCAGTGAGTGGAACGCGGTCTGAGAGTCACCGTAAACGTGAACACAATCAGTTAAAATCCGAAATGGTTTATTACGTCCTTCCAATGATTGCTAAGCCAGAATCCATCTTCTCGGTTGAAATTGTCTCTGTTTGATAATTGGTTCTTTACCCTTCTATCTGGCAACAAAACTGACACCTTTTTGCAAGGAGTCATGTTTGCATAGACCGCAATACCTGCAGTCATAAATACAAACAAAAGACATAACTCTGATAATGTGCAAGAGAATGCAAAAAGGTGTCAGTTTTGTTGCCAGATAGAAGGGTAAAGAACCAATTATCATATTTTTACTGGCAAATGAGGTCCCCATAGTGTAGTTGTCTCTGTTTGTATATGTGGATCGCCTCATGAACGAATCTCTCATGATAGCCAGATGGCTTGCAGAGAACCTCTGTCTTGGAGAAGTCAATGACATTGACCTCTGTCTTGGAGGGGGCCGGTTGATGATTCGGGTCGTTCAACCAGTATGTTCAGATTCGCTTGGGTCGGCCGAGTTGATTTGTACATCCCTTACGCCTCAAGCCCTTTAATCGCTCCGCGTGAGTTCGATCCATCTCCACACCGTAGGGGCCGAGTGTCAGACTGTCCGGTGATCTGAGGTATCATGTGATCACGTCCTCAGGTGCTACGCGTCTAACATCCCACGAGCCGCCGCCTGCACCGTCTCTACTGGATTCGGGAGGAAAACCCGCCAACCCGGCCGACTGCTCTTCGTGAGGAGCCGTGTTTAACGGGACATTTGCATAGTCCCCCCCGGACCTCCAGGGAGAGGGAGCCCATCCCCATGCACACACACTCCCACACCATCAGTTGGTTGCCGCACTTGGCACGCCGTATCGGTTATTGGCTGAACCTAGCCTTTATTGTGCTTGTGGGTGTTGTTACACGGTGAGGGTGGGAGATGTTGGTGATGGAGGAGATTCCGAGCGTTCGTGTTTTACTGCATTGTTTTGTTTCTACTCACTCTCTTCCCTTGCTTTATTCTGTAATTCCACCCTGTTCCCCGTCTGTTACTGTACATTTGTGGATAGTGTCTCATTCGTCACCTGAAGACGGCTGCTTGCGTTGTAGCCGAAACGTCGTGAGAATTGTTTTATGTTTTATTTTTATTATTTTATTACTTCCCTTCTACGTGACTTTACCGAAAGAACCAAGAAGATGAGTGTATATACAGTATTGTATAGGTGGGCTGGGGTATTTATTTGGTAATTGTTATTGTTGAGGCACACATTGGGGTTTTACTCACTTTTTGTCACTTTATTCGCTTTGTTCGTTTTACGAGGGAGTTGACAGCCGGGACGACTGAGTGCTACGAAGGGGGGGGTGTGATGTAGTGACATTGGGGGGTGTCACTGTGTAATGCCGTCCCTGGAGAGGCACGGCGTGCGATGTACTCACATCGGGGACACCCCGTATATGTGGGTGTAGTACTGGCCCCAGAGGGGCTCGGTGAGCGCTGAGTCATCGCGCTGAGTGGCACCACGCTTGGCGTGCAGTGCAGACCCCTACAGGATGGGGTGTGAGAGTGTCGGCCAGGGAATGGAGTTACTATAGGCCATGGCACTCTGGTTTACCCCGGAGGACACGTGACTGGTAAAGTATACACAGGGGCCCCAAGTGGGGGGCGAGGGGTGGTCACGTGTCGGGGCGAGATCCTGCTAGAGGATTCGAGGTGGTCGTGGCAAGGGCAGAGCCAGTCACGACCAGGGAGGATATAAGCCGGGTCTCCAGAGGGACCGGGGTTCGGCGTTGCTGTTGTATCCTGAAGAAGTCTACGTTCAACGTCCTGAAGAATCACCAACACGTGGACCCGGACCCAGGCCGGGGTCTGGTCTGTTGTAGCTAAGTTACAGAGTAATTAGCACAGTTAGCCTGGTGGTCCACCACCATAGGCTGTTATCTTGTTAACCCCGAGAGTTTGGTATAATAAATGTGTTGCCTCCAAGAAGTGCGTCTGCGACTCAGTTGAACTCACCACACATTTATTAGTATTTTGTAAATCCAGGCATAAAATAATGAAACTTAACTTTTTCTTCAGTAACGCATCCCCCATATTCTCAATGGGAAATATATGTTGAACTTCATTCGCACCGTAAGTAGCTAACCACGCTCATCGGAGACGCGAGGAAAATGGGCGTCTCTTTTCAGGTAATGCGTGCGGCGCGTGATGCGAGGCTCCCCTGAATTTTCAAATTGACGTGGTGCATGTGTAACCATAATCTGGGTATCATCAGCGGTGGCCGCATGAAACGCTGATCACAAACTCCCTCAAAATCTCGTCTGCTTATAAAACAGCAAGTTACTTTTCAACTGGCGTTCCTGAGCCTTCTGGAACATTCTTCCGCTATGAGGAAGCCACTGGGAGCTACGTACTTTTAAATCACATTTCTTTAAAACTGCTTTTTGTGTTTAGTTCGTTGTCCTTCCTTCACACATCCGATTAGCACGGTTGGCTACGTATGGTGCGAAAGAAGTTCAATATGAATAAGAGCCACTCAAACTAAACTTTTATTTTACCAGGTAAGGCCCACTGTGCTATATAGCTGTTTTTCAGAAGCGACATGGCCACAAATGGTAGCTCAACAAAGTGGCTGATCCTGTGGAAATTTAGAGCAGCCAAATACTCCAAATGCACGTTTTTAAATGTGGAGGGAAAACCGGAGGACCTGGAGAAAAATCCACGGAATCACGGGGGATACACAAACTCCAAATATACAGCAGGCGTCAGGGTCGGGATCAAACCCATGACCTCCTGTGTACCAGGCGAGGGAGTTACATCTCCTCGCCACTGCTTCTCCCTCAAGCTTGCAGTGCTCAACGCAATCACCATTTAAACGTTGCCAGCCTAGAGTAAGCTTCTTGCAATCGGAATGTTGAGTTCAAATCCTCATATGGGGGGGGGGGGGGGGGGGTTGACTCCTCAGCCTATTGTCCCTCTGGGATCGATGCAATTAGTGCCACTTTTATAGGGAAGACAAAAGTGGTTGGTCCTATGGATAGACTCACCCTTGATAAAAATCATAATAATTTAAAACTTAAAAGGGCTCACTGAAACAACCATTCTCAGGACGCTATGCGTGAAAAAGGCAGAAATAATTTAACATCCACCAGGAAAAGAAGATGTTTGAAAATAACTAGAGAAAGCCATTTTAAACGGGGAAATAATAAAAATAAAACATTATATTATGCTCGTGTATTATGTAGGATTAGCAGTCATAACGGGAAGAAGTAGGATTAGCAGTAATAAAGGGAAGGAAATTTTAATAGTAAAGAGCTGCATAATATGACTTTGAGACCCCCCCCCACCATCTACACATTGCACAAGTAGTGACTAATCCCATATCTGCATTTTCCATAAACATGCTAAATTCCTCTGTTGATATGTAAATTCCTTTGTCAAGGCGCTCTCCTTCTCTAACCCAGATTAAATATACGCTGCCAAGCTTAGTAGTGTTCATTCGGACGCTGTCTTTCCGACAACCCTGTTCTTCACCTGAGGACAGCTGCTTGCGTTGTGGCCGAAACGTCGTGAGAATTTTATTTAATTATGTTTTATTTTTATTATTTTATTATTTCCCTTCTACGTGACTTTACCGAAAGAACCAAAAAGATGAATCCCTGCAGTCACGAAAGCTTTAAATCGAAATTCATTTTAAACATGTTTTTCTTAGTCGAGGTTTGAAGATTTGTCTCGGAACTTGTGACCTCGAAGGGGAAGGAGTTCCAGAGTTTAGCTGTCTACAATTGCAAAGGCACGATTGCCCATTAAAAAAAGGAAATCACTTGCTTCTTAACAAGACTGGCTTTAATACATTTTTGCTCTGAATCTCACACACACAAGCACACCCAGTGTTGTCACACCAAACAAAGCGTTTCACCCTGTAAAAATCAAAACGCAACAAAGAGAAAACAAGAAACGACATCTGGTTGCATCTTTATTTTTTACGACGTATGCCAATTTATTTTACAGTTAATAAGGGTATGGAACATTTACCACGTGCCATCATCTTCACACCGAGGGCCAACATTTCTCAAACAAACGGCGGCTCGTTGGATGCACCTTTAGAGGGCGGAGATGGGCTTGAACGGCCAGAACGGGTGCTTGACTTTGTCCAACTTGGTCTCAGGGAAGGCTTCGTTTAAGTCATCGATGGTCATCTCTTCCACGTGGATCATGTTTCTCATCTTCTCCAGCTTAAAAAAAAATAGATAAACATTCCCTCTCGTCATTAACACCGGCAATAAAAAAACAACCCATCTCCTCAACATCATGTTTAAAGAACCGCCCTGCATCTCGACACCGTAGGCATATCGTTTTAAGTCGCCTGGGTCCATCTTTACAGACGCAAATATAAGTATGCATACGTGAAACACTGAGCGAACATAGTTGTCGCTCAAGTTGATTTTTTTCTTGAACCAGGTGAGAACTCTAAGAGACAAGGACAGTAATTTTGCAAGAGTGACCTGGAAGAGACTAAAAACGTCAGCAAATTACAAGCTCCGGACTTGCTACAATCGTCTCGCCTTGGCGTGGAGATGCACATTGCACACGACAGTTGTTTTTGACGTTGTTGTAACCAAGCGCTGGGCAATGAGCCCACCGATGCATCGCTTTGTGCTCCATGTTCACATCGGCGTTATCGCGTCTACATCTTGCGGACATTTTATAACGACGAGGGACGATTACATGGCGAGGATCTTACACGCCACGTGCGTAACATTCCTCCTTATCTGTTGCCTCTCCAGCAGCTACCGTTATTGAAGAATCCCCACATCTCACACTGCACATTTTAATGTATATATTTAAGGTCAAATTTCCCCAACAGAAGCCTTAAAACATTTAACACGGTGGGTTTTTTGCAGGCCAATATTATTCATAACAGATTTTTTTTTGGTTTTACCATTCAATGATTTGTGTCATTAAGACCCCTCCAGCAACTCACACAGCCAAAGAAATAAATTGTCACTTGTACAAGTATTTAACATGCCAATTATAATCATTATTTCAGCTCATTGGTAAGTTAAACAATTCTCATAACGAAATTTAACAACATGTTTTGAAACTACATTGAGATGTTCAGGACAAAATCCAGTAAGTGATAGCAATCCAGGAAGTTGGAATGTCACACCTGACCCGGCTTGTTATATAGGTGTCATCACTCACATATCAGTTTGACACTTAGGCTTTCTCGACCAATATTATTCATAATAAAGGTTTTTTTTGGGCAAGATCGCGTAAATATAAATGTGTCGTTAAACTCGCCACCACCCGATACAGCCAATTAGTAAGGTTTGTCACGTAAACAAAACGTGCCAAACGGTTAATATTTCAACCTATCAGTGTGTTGGAGATTAAACCCACAACATTTAAAATTTCAGCACAACGTTTTGCTGGTAATTACATCCAGCATCATTGGCGGTTTTGCCAGAACTGTGAAGAGCTCTATCTTCTGTCCAGTCTTAAATAGAGCAAGATGACATCATTGAAATTATATATTAACCATGAGAGAGTACATTTTTTATTTGTTTTGTTATTCTAATTTACCTGGGCACTATGCTTACCTCTTTCTCGTACCCAGCAATGCGCTGTTTGGAAGCTTGAATGTATTCCTGTGCCGATTTATCCTGAAACCGATCCACGGGGGGGGGGTGGGGGATGTCGTAAAAACAATAGTCTCACGAAGCACCAAACAACAGTCCTGAATCCAGCAGTTCTTTCTGCGAGTCTCAGAAACCCGAGGAGCCCGAGATGATCTACGCACCATAAGGAGAGAACACTCTAATGCCCTCAGAGATGGGTTCACGAATTCCCTTTTGTGCACCGCGACCACCTCCCCGTCGCCTCTCCGGTTTGCCGGTTTGGGAGTTACACAGTGCTATGTGATCCACCAACCCTTGCTACCAGCGCACAGTATCACAGGTGTGCACTGTCACACCTGGTTTTACTGTAATCCTTAACACCTATGGCAAGAACAATCCCTTCGTGTGTGTTGGTCTTGCCTGTACAATAATAATAACAATAATAACAAGACGTCCGCAAGCAGCAGGGTGTGGTGCTGAACCTCAGAACATGAGAGCAGCTTGGTGTTAACTTTATTTAGAGAGGCGTAGCAGCGCCGTTGTTTTCAAGGACGTTGTTACTCACCACGGAGAACCGTAGCAAACACGATCGCCGCACTCTACGATAGTCGGTGCCAAAACTGTGCCGCACACCTTCCCGCGTGGCCTTTTGGGAGCCTCAGGTACCAATAAAGTTTTTTCATTTTTATTTTTTCTTCCGGAATGGGAAAGGGTTAATAGATAAATAGTGAATGCACGCGTGAAAGTAACGGCACTCACGGCTTCCTTCTCCTGGATCGCGATCTTTGAGGAGTAGTTGTCCACAGGCTCAGGGACCTTAAAAGCATTGAACTAAAACAAAGAAAAGGTGAAAACAGAGTGAATTATAGACTCATGAGCAAGTGAATATTAGCACATGCATGCATGCAAATACATATGACTAGAACCCATACAGATGTAATTTCAATAAAACATTATGATTATCAAAGCATTTGGTATTCACTCCATTCCTATAAACGCAGAGCTATCAAGAAGGCACCACAATTCACATAATCTGTAGTTGTGGGCGATGACGCCACGTATAATCCCAACTGAGTGCAGGCATACACCGGTTTCCGCCCAGGATGCGTTCCTGAAAATCAGAACGTAAATCACGGGTACCTAAATCGAAGCATTTCTCGTGGATCGTAACGTGGTATAGGCTGTACCCAGATAGAGGACGCTCAGTAAGCCATTGCGCATCTGTACTGTAACAACCTCCGGTGTGAAAAGTGTATATTATTGATACATTAAGATATATTAACTATGTCTACAATGATTATTCGTCGTTTATAAAAATAAAATAAAAAATGCTTACACCGGTATAAAAAGTCGCTATAAAAGTACAGTATGCGGGGAAGAAAATATGAAGCGACTTTAGCCAGTCAGGGACACCAATGTTCGGGCGCCATCTGCCGCCAGAATATTCTCCATACAAAGTAAAAAAACGTGGCGTCTAATGGTTAAGTTCGTAAATCTCGAGCATGCTATGGCAAGGACCACAGTACGTAAAACGGGACTGGGTATCAATAAGCCGAGCGCGTTACAGCGAAAGTACGCAGAGCGGGAGAGGACGTAAATCCGGGTTTCACTGCATTGTGCGGGGTCAACTTTTCGAGCATGGCAAATTTGGATCTTCTTCTACAAATGACGGACTTGGGATCTTTAACGTCCACTGTGAGGCAGACGGCGCGTAGTAATTTTATTGTGAATACTCCCGCGATACAGGGCTGTCTCTGCAACAAGCGGCAAATGCGTTACCCCCCCTACAAACTGACTTTCTATTGATGATGATGACAATAATTACAA